CTTTTGTTTAAGTAATTATTGCACACTTTCTGTAAATTCTATAAACTTCATTTCACTTCTTAAATATCACTGTGTTTGTTTGCTATGATATATTTAATTGAAATTGCTGTTCCGAACAACCAATGATACATAAAGGAAAAGCTTGAAAATGATCAGGGGTGCCCAAACTTTTTCATACCACTGTAAGGTTTAGAGGCAGTCACATTCATCTTTGACATTCAATAATTTTTAATCGAATATTTTGCAAATAAAATATATTACACAGTTTCACAATTTTTGTCATTACCTTAAATCACTGTTTCCTAAAGACTGGGTCGCGACCCTTAGGTGGGTTGCAAGAGTTTTTTTCTTGGGTCATCTCGCATCATGTTTCCCAGGAGTTTACGAATAATATCTATTGACTTCAGTCGCAAAGGTTTGTGACTTAGGTCCCCAGAAAAAAAGGTTTGGGAAACACTGCCTTAAATGACTTAATTAAACATGTTTAGTGGTTATTCATGGATAAAAAGTTTGTTTCAAAGGATTTATTTGAAGCTATTCAATGGCAAAAGTTATTCTCTGGCAAACATGGTTGGTGCCCAATGATAAAAATTGACTCTTTATGACTTATGAGGAATTACTTTAAACTACTGCATTTCATACAATCATAGAAAACATTTATTTTGATTCACTTCATTTGTATTTTATTATACTGCAGTGAAACCATTGGTTGTGGTAACAACAACCCCAAAAACGGAGGTGTTCATAGTTCCTATCCATCATCTTTTACAGACAACGCCTATTTACTTTTTAGCTTATTGGATTTTTATTATGATGGATATTATTCATGGCTGTATTATTACATGATATTGATGGTTTGATAAAGAATCCGTCAGTCTTACCTTGACCGTTGAAAGAAACTGAAGGAGGAAAGGTCATAGGCTGCCTTAAGGAGGTGGGATTTGGTTGCTCCTTTGTGAAGGATGCTGAGGCTGTAAAGCTTCATGTTGTTGGCGCTGTTTGAGTCACTTCTCTTGTTCGTCAGCTCTCTCTCTCTCTCTCTCTTCCCCTCCCGCTGCCAGTCACATACACTCACACAAACACTGCACTGGTGTTCCAACTCTGTAAACGACATGTGCAAAATCACATGAGACTATTTGCCAGCTAAGGCGGACAGCCTGTCGTTAACACTAAACGTGCTAAAGTAGCCGCCCTGCTAAAGCTAAAAGCTAACTAGTTGTGGATAAACATGAATAAAAATTTAAAGTTACGTTAAAAATGTTACACTAATATTACAAAATCACACATATCTGGCATTTCACAGTGCAATAATGGACATGACAATACGCTTTAAAGCGTTGTTCACACTCGTAAAAACAAGTCAAGCACACCGTTAGCTGCATATATTATCCGGTTGTTCTCGAGGCCTCAGTCAACTTACCGCAAATTTCAACAGCTAACAGTTCGAGTCCCGTCAAAACTTTCTGTTCGACATTAAATCAAACTTTAAGGAGTGGACAACAAACGTCCAAATACCTGAACAACAACCGGTGGACGACAACTCACTTATTTTCGCCACCGTGTTAATTGACCAATCACCACGTCACGATTCTTACCAGGTCCAACGGCACAACGGTTCCCGTGGAAACAAAGTTCCAATATTTTCATGGGTCCGGTGGAGCGTAAAAAGCGGAAAGCACACGTTACTAGAATTACATAAAACGAAAGAAATCACATGAAAATAAAGCAACTTTCATCATTTTTGTTACTTTCCCCCTTATTATTATTATTTTCTCGTGTCGTTGTATTGTTTTGATATTACCAAGGGAACTGAAAATGTAGTTGGCACCACCTTCCCATCTGCTATTTATTTACCATACATAGTTGACATCTGATCCAGTAGTCAAAGGATGCAGCACCCTGCTCAAAAACAACATCCAAGGCACTACTGTAAAATGTACATAGTTCAAAATACAGGAATATTTTATTACATACAAGACTATTATTCATGGGGAGTATTATTCATTATTCACTGGGTCAGAAGGGACACAGTATGAACACGTTGACAATACACATCTTTGTTAATATACATTTCATGTAATTATATTTTTGTTTTCTCTAAAAAACAAACAAAACAAAAATGTCACCCTCTACTGCCCTCACCTGATGATGCTTTATTTTTGGTTATTTTGCTCCATTTAACCATGTCCACTTAACTTAGTGGTTAAGTGTTTTCCATGTCAGAAGTGTGTCTGTAATTCATTTCCAAGGAGACACACTCCACACTGGCATGGAAACGTATGAGCCTCCGATGCATCTGTGCTGAAACTATATATTTTTTCTTCATTTCCTAGTTGAACCAGTGACGGTAAGACAATCAGCTGGGTCCTGGAGGATGTCTTGATCTTGACGTTTTAAGGCAGGAGATTTTTTTATTATTATTAATTCTGGAACAATGGCTTGGATGGAAAATCCCGTCTACCTCCCGAATACCTGGCGATTGAAATTCAAGAATGAGGACACATCCTCAGAATTTTAAACAGGCTATTTCTGCGAGAGATAAAAAAAACAAATTATTTAGATTATTATTTAGAATTCTCTATTAGCACCAAGAAGTCAACTGATCAACAAAATTAAATTACATTTTTATGCTTTTGGGAAATAAATTTAATGTAAGCATTTTTTATCTTGAACTTTGTACATATATAGAGAGAGTTTTTGTTTTAAATCATACATGGAAATATAGCCAAAAGTAATAATTGGGCAGTAAAACGTGTGGAAAAACTTAATAGGACAAACCCCTGATGTTTGGCATTCAGAAATCCTTGTGATGGAGAAGGTAAATAACAATAATGTACAGTACACACAGTACACACACACACACACATATATATATGTATATATATATATACAGCTGTATAAATGAATATATGTGTTTATATGTACGCATGTATGTAGGTATCCATGTATGAATTTAGTACCTATTCCAATTGTTTTAAATAAACACCAGTGAAGAAAACTATCTTTAATAAAGTAATCAAACTGCACCCAAAGTAACTGATTAAATAAACATATCATTGCAGTGACTTATTGACCTTTTGAATTGACCTATGGCTATGCAGATGCCAAAATGTCTTAAATCTTCAAATCAAATGTTAAGCGTCTGCTAAATGCATACATGTAAATGTAACAAAGTCCACTGTTTACATGAGTATGCAGTGGGGATCGAAAGTTTGGGCACCCCAGGTAAAAATTTGTATTAATGTGCATAAAGAAGCCAAGGAAAGATGGAAAAATCTCCAAAAGGCATCAAATTACAGATGAGACATTCTTATAATATGTCAAAAAAAGTTAGATTTTATTTCCATCATTTACACTTACACAAATAACAGAAAACAAAATAATGGCATCTGCAAAAGTTTGGGCACCCTGCAGAGTTGATACCTTGTACTGCCCCCTTTGGCAAGTATCACAGCTTGTAAAGGCTTTTTGTAGCCAGCGTTCAATTCTTGTTTGAGGTATCTTCGCCCATTCTTCCTTACAAAAGTCTTCCAGTTCTTTGAGATTTCTGGGCTATCTGTTACGCACTGCTCTTTTGTGTTCTAGACAACTGCTTAGAAGAACCCATGGTGCTGATTGTTGGGGCAAGGTCAGGCAACCTTTGAGATTTATATCACCTGGTCTTTCCAGATGATGATTGTGAGCAATCCATGACACTGTCAGGTCTCAGTTTTCCAAAGGGGGCAGTGCATGCTATAAACTTTGCAGGGTGCCCAAACTTTTGCAGACGCCATCATTTTGTTTTCTGTTATTTTGAAAGTGTAAATGATGGAAATAAAATCTAACTTTTTTAACATATTATAAGAATGTCTCATCTGTAATTTGATGCCTTTTGGAGATTTTTCCATCTTTCCTTTGCTTCTTTATGCACATTAATACAAATTTTTACCTGGGGTGCCCAAACTTTCGATCCCTAAAGTAAGTGAAAAACACAGCTATGGCAAATGCATCTGCAGCCTACATGTGCCGGAGCCGAGATAAAAGCTTTCCGCTTCACTGTGCTAACCTTAACGAATGGGCTCACGTGGCGCAGTGAGAATCTGTGACACAAATTCCTGGATGTACAGTATGAGGTAATAAACCGCCAGG